TTTTGTTGAAAGACGGAGCAAGGGGCGTGGCAGTTCGCCAATCACAACGCACTGGGACAGCTAACCAATCACAACACATTTTGTTTTTCGGAAGGCGGACCTTCATCAAAGCCGTAACTAATCGAGCCGTTTGTGCCAGGCTGGGGAGAAAGGTATTTTAATAATGTAAATTATGTGAAAAATAATGTGTTTTTCGAACCACCAAGCATGAGAGCATGTTCTAGTACACCCCCAAAACAAAATCAAGACTTTGTAAAAGAGCATAATAGGACCCCTTTAACAGACTCATAATGTTATGACATCAATTACTGCTTTATTTATTCAGAAACACAAGTTAAATAACATCTTAATGTATTTTACATTTTATTTTATTACAAGTAGGCCTGCAGCGCACCCTAAATAAATAAAACGCTTTACCGGACGGGCATTAGGACATTAGGGCATTACACTTTTGTACCTTTTAGGTATTGATATGAACACTTTAGGTACCAATATGGACCCTTTAGGTACAAAGTTGTACCTTTTGAAAAGGTACCGCCCCAGTGACACCTTTTGTAGCGTTTTTCTGACAGTGTTAGTCACATCGCATGATTTGTCCTCTGTAAGTAGTAATTGTCAAAGCAGGGTAAACCAAAATGTTTCAAGATAAAACACCATCCCCCGGTTTCACAGACAAGGCTTAAGCCTAATCCCAGACTAAAATGTAAATCTGAGCTGTGTCAACTGAAAGAAACTTGCACTGACTGATCTTAAAATATATCAGTGCCTTTGTTTTGTCTCAATATGCACAACAGTAATGTGTTTTCTAAGGCACGTTTATGAAAAATTACTTAAATGTCCTAATTGAACTATGGCCTAATCCTGGTTTAGTCTAAGCCCTGTCTGTGAAACCAGGCCCATGTGTTTTAGGATGACTCAGGACAGGCAATGAAGCTTGTTAAATGGGATGAATTAGCCTTATTAGTAGGTCAGGAGCTTCCGTTTGCTAAATATTTAGGGTTGTACATATGTGCTCGACTTATTATAGGCTGTTTGCTGATATATAGTCATGTAGTTAATGACTTTGAGGTAGGCTAAATCCCACTCATAACAACAGCCCTCGGTGCTTAAGTCAAGTGTCCTGCACTTAGGAACAATTTCAAGCAATTTCTTGACTTAATGTCTAAACTGGGCTTTTGTGCGACATTTAGAGTCTCTGAATACTTCAACTTCATTGTATCTACACAGTATGTAGTTATAGTAGATCTTAGTAACTGTATCTCAGTATCAAAGAATTTTAGATTATTTTTTAATATTTTTACTAGGTCTGGGCGATATGGCCAAAAATATTATCACAATATTTTATTTTCTATATCATACAATGTCAGTATTTATCACAATATTCATTTAGCATTAATGGGGAAGGAAATGCTCCACATGTTTGTTAGACCTTGAGAATGAATAAAGATAATTTGTTTGTTCACAATTAAACTCCACAGAGCTCCCTTTTAATTTAGGGCCGCCATGAAATCTGTTTTATTTTCCACTAAATTCAGTTTTCCATTTTATTTTATTCCTGGATTCTGTGTTTTATGATTCAATACAAATGTATCATAAAAACAATGGTGTCCTGTCTAATTAAACAAATTAATACAACTTTAACAATGTAATCAATCTTTTAAAATTCAATGAAATGAAAAAAAAAAAATGATTTACTACAAAACATTGCATTTTTATTTTTTAAATAAGATGCTGTACTGTATAATTGTATAAATTAATGAAAAAAAAATACCTTGGTTGCATGATATTCCTTAAAATTATTATTATTATTACTTGCGAATTACATTTTAGTATAGAATAGTAATATATTTATGTCAAGTTGTTTTACTTTCAGTTTCAGTGTGGTAGTTTTTCTCAAATGAAACGGTTCAAATTTCGAAATTATACAATGTAATGTAATTTACATTAAAAACTGCTCAGCAGCATCTTTGTTTGGATCATGATTAAAATGATGAGTGGTTGTCTCTAATTTTAAATAGAAAGAGCACAGACAAAGCCTTAGTTTGTTTATATAAAGAGATGTCTTTTATTTGTGTTACTTATTTATTTGATTTGGGGCTTGTTTTAAAATGTAAAAAAAAAATAGTTTTGTTATTTACATTTACATTATATTTAAATTTTGTTATTTAGCAAACACTTTTATCCAAAGCGACTAACAAATGCGGACAATAGAAGCAATCAAAACCAACAAAAGAGCAATAATTTACAAGTGCTGTATTAGTATATTATTATAGTGCTAAATTTCAATTTCACAAAGAAACGTACAGTATTTTGTCCAAGCAATAATAAAAGGACACATTTAATTTATAATTTGTCTTAAATCTCATTTTATAAAAAAAAAAAGTGAATTGATTCGAATCGTGAGTTGAGTGAATCGTTACCTTATCATCGCTATTGACCAATTTTATCGTGACTCAATATAATATCATTTTATCGCCCAACTCATGGCGATACTGTTTATGTCTAAAGTTCTTCACTTTCAAGCACTCAATCTTATAACATTTCAAATCCTTGAGCTTTTATTTGACAGAATACTGGTGAACTTCTGTCCAAAAATATTGAATGTAAATAAAGAGAACATGGTGCTTGCAACACCAAGGTCATTGGTTTCATTCCCAGATAATGCACAATACACTTACACAGTACTTACAGTAAATGTACTGATTGTTGTACTAAATTTAATTGATGCTTTTTTAATAGTAAAAAAAGTTTTGACAAGATGTTTTTAATTGCTGTATTAAGTTGTAGTGATGAAAATGAGTTTTCTTTTCGCATTGCAATAATGTTTTGATCTATTTATTTATTTATTTATTGATGTTAGCGTAAAAAGTTTTATCCCACATTAAAGTAATGAGCATTTATGGGGGAAGTTTGGATCTTTATGCAAAATGTTTTTTTATTTTTTTATGGGGAGGATGAAATGATTTAGACATTGTGAATGTATTCAGCATCTTTGTTTGGATTGTGATTCAAATGCAGTGGTTGCCTCTAATTTTGAATGGAAAGAGCACAGGTAGCCTTTGTTTATATGAAGAGATTTATTTTATTTGTGTTACTTATTTATTTGATTTGGGGCTTGTTTTAAAATGTAAAAAAAAAATAGTTTTGTTATTTACATTTACATTATATTTAAATTTTGTTATTTAGCAAACACTTTTATCCAAAGCGACTAACAAATGCGGACAATAGAAGCAATCAAAACCAACAAAAGAGCAATAATTTACAAGTGCTGTATTAGTATATTATTATAGTGCTAAATTTCAATTTCACAAAGAAACGTACAGTATTTTGTCCAAGCAATAATAAAAGGACACATTTAATTTATAATTTGTCTTAAATCTCATTTTATAAAAAAAAAAAGTGAATTGATTCGAATCGTGAGTTGAGTGAATCGTTACCTTATCATCGCTATTGACCAATTTTATCGTGACTCAATATAATATCATTTTATCGCCCAACTCATGGCGATACTGTTTATGTCTAAAGTTCTTCACTTTCAAGCACTCAATCTTATAACATTTCAAATCCTTGAGCTTTTATTTGACAGAATACTGGTGAACTTCTGTCCAAAAATATTGAATGTAAATAAAGAGAACATGGTGCTTGCAACACCAAGGTCATTGGTTTCATTCCCAGATAATGCACAATACACTTACACAGTACTTACAGTAAATGTACTGATTGTTGTACTAAATTTAATTGATGCTTTTTTAATAGTAAAAAAAGTTTTGACAAGATGTTTTTAATTGCTGTATTAAGTTGTAGTGATGAAAATGAGTTTTCTTTTCGCATTGCAATAATGTTTTGATCTATTTATTTATTTATTTATTGATGTTAGCGTAAAAAGTTTTATCCCACATTAAAGTAATGAGCATTTATGGGGGAAGTTTGGATCTTTATGCAAAATGTTTTTTTATTTTTTTATGGGGAGGATGAAATGATTTAGACATTGTGAGATTTACTCCAAGCATAATGAATTGAATTTTGACAGGCAAGGATTTGCAACTTATAGAGTCAAAAAAGCGAACTAATCAGAGCTACAATAACAATGGAGCTGCATCATAAGCGTGGATGCAGCACAATGAATAGTCATTACATTTCACATTAGTCAAGTTTGTGACTGATCATATGTCATTGGTCTAGTTGTTGGCTTTGTCTCACAGATGGTTTCCAGTCAGTCAGTAATGGTACCTTTGGCTGCAGGCGCTGCAGTGTTTGTCTTGGGTGTGGTGCTTCCTTAACCTCTTTTCTGTTTGGTTTTTGTTAGATAACACCTGCGAGTAAAGCAGCGCTGGGCAACTTGTGCCCTGGAGACACCATCCTAGCCATCAATGGAGAAAGCACAGAGACCATGACACACATGGAGGCTCAGAACCGCATTAAAGCCTGCACAGATCAGCTTGTGTTGGCCATCAGCAGGTATATCTGCCTTACTCTCCATACATTCACATGGTGCAAAGATATGAGACGACATGCACATCTGTTTCCTTCTCTATCAGAAAAAATGGTACAAGAGCTCACTGAGTCACTGGGGCGGTACCTTTTTAAAAGGTACACTTTTGTGCCTTATTAACCCCTGAATGGTGCATATTAGTCCCTAAAGTGTACATATTAGTACCTAAATGGTACATCTTAGTACCTTTTGAAAAGGGTACCACAACAGTGACAGCTTTTGTACCTTTTTTCTGAGAGTTTGAAAAATGCCTGAGTGCTCGTGAACTTCTATAAGTGTTTTATGTAATCCAGGATGGTCAGTAATACCTAAAGGTGGAATTTCTGTACAGATAGCGATATTATTGTGAACTCTTTGTTTAAGCGAGCCGTCTAGGCCAGACACAACAACACTGGCTCAACCAATCGTGTGAGTTTGGTGCAAGGCTGGTCCAGGCTCTGCCTGACCAATGGAATGATTTATAATATGTCACAATTTTTCAATCTCTCAGTTATAATACATTGTACACAGAGAAAAAAGAAATCCATTAACAATCCCCATTAACAAACTTTTGCTTTTTTTCTATTCAATATAATCCATTAAAATGTAATATGATGATAAAGGGAGTCATGCATGCTTGTTGATATTGCTTCTTAGCAAGGTTAGAAATTAACTTTTCCATTAAAGAGAAATATTTGCTCACTGGGGTCAGGTTTTTTTTTTTTTTTGCCTTGGAAAGGTCAATTTTTTTTTAAATACCTTGTTAAATGTATCTGTGTTGTCTTTTATGTCAAATACTTAAAGTTAACCAGTTAATTCAATTAGTCAATTATACTGTAGACTTTTACAGATAGAATTTTATCAACATCAAAAGTCATCTTAAAGTGGTGGAACAGAAGCTACATCTAACATGGCATGTTTATTCACGTAGACTGCTTAATGCTGCTCAAAGGTGGCATACATGTTGTTACACAACAGTTGCATCATTTAAAGCTTATAAATAATAAAATTTAAAATATATATTTTTTTATAGGGTAGGGCTGTAATTTCATGACAAAATTGTTATTGTTGGTTGCTGCTCTTTATATTGTAATAATGATTATTAATATGGATTAGAGACAGATTTGCGCTACGCCACTGTCTTCACACACAGACAAAACTGAGAAGTGAACAGAGAAGTGTGACATTATATAGCCTACATCTGTAAATAAATACTATTTAAATTCACGTCTCGCGCACTTTAATGCCCTTTGAATGTAACATGTATGTTCCCTTCAGAATCATGGCAGAATATCCCGTGAAGTCCACTTCGCAGGGCACTCACAGTTGAATAGAACAAATGTCTGAAGTGGTAAGAGAAACATACAAAATGTGCAGAGTGGGGGGTCGCGAGGACCAGGATTAAGAATCGCTGCTTAATAGCATCGCGTCTCACTAACTAGGTGACAGCGTAGCGCTAAATCACCTTTCAACAGACTCAAGCCACCACCGCACAAATTAGTTAGCAACTTACCGTTAAGACAACGCTTGACTCCGAGTCGTGAAGACACCGCTTGAATGCTTCTGCCTGAACAAGATACCTCTTTACTGAAGTGAAAAGTTTGGCTGGTTTCACTATCTCGCGAACGCGGCAGCCGATCTCCACCAAATTCGGTTGATCTCTTCAGCTTGAGGAGCCCTCTCGAACGCCACCCTCCGCATGTCGGTAGCCCCCCGGGATCGCCAGATTGGTCAGCGCCCGACCGCGAATTTAACTGCCCGTAACTCCCGGGCCCCGGGGGCTATTGATGTGGGGGTGGTCTCATTTGAAAGGGGGCCTCGAGACGTACACTTGATTCTGCGTTCGAGAGGGTTCCTCAAGCTGAAGGGATCCCCCGAATTTGGTGCGGATACGCCGTGCCGTTACGGAGATATGGCCGTTCAAATTTTCAATGGTATTCCATTCACTTAAGCTTTAAAGCGTTTCATCCAGATAACCAATAGCAAACAATGGAGAGTAACAAACTACGTAATTACACTATTTACAAGCATTTTATCTGCGTTTTATGTTCTGTAAAAAAAAATGTTCATATCGGTGGCATATCGGCAGCATATACGCCGATACAGATATATCTGCGACAGGCTCATATCGGCCGATAAAATCGGCAAAACGATATATCGGTTGGGCTGTAATATTGATTAATAGAATACACACACACAAAGAATTCACATGTCATATTCTTGTAGGTCGCAAAAGACAAAAAAAATCAATTTAAAAAATCTATATGTAATTACAATGCAATCTTTGCTAAACCATATCATGTTCTCAGGCATTATTGAATTGACATAAAAAAAGTTACTGTCCAATTGGCGAGTAACACTGTTTAATATACTTGCCAACGCCATTTTTTTTATCACATTTGGTGCTTGGCGAATGTTAATTTTAGTCCCTGATCATAGGAGATGCTGCCCATCATAAATTAAAGCATGTGACAGGCGTGGCAGATCGTGATCAGAGGAGTACACATGAAAAAAGCAAAACAACGAGCATGTTTACATGCACACCAATACGCTGGTAACTCACAAAAATCAAGCTTATTGAAATAACCAGTTGTCCCGGTTTACATGCAAACCAATAACCCGGCATTAGGGATGCACCGATACCACTTTTTCCAGTACTCGCCGAACTACAAGCTTTCCAGTGATGTCTGTGAGAAAGGTATATTCACTCGACAAGCTCGCAAGTATCGGTACCAGTATCGGTATCGGTGCATCCCTACCCGGCATGCAAGTAAACCGCGTTTATAGTGTGCATTAAATATGCTTAGTACGGAAGCTCGAACGTGTGTGTGAGGCGCTGGATCAGACCTCACTGGTCCTTGAGACAGTCAATCTGTGTTGACAGAACAGAAACAAACTGTGTGTTGATAGTGCCGTTCCATTTTCACGCAACCATAGGAAACTTCATTCTCCCAACATCATTCTCCCAAAAAGTTTAAGTCGTCAGTATGCCAAGCTATGCCACTGAACTGACAATATGATAAAAGACAATCCTTTTCACACAAACAGAATTTTTGTGTGCGAGTGTGAGATTCACCCAGAGGCATCATATGCTACATCTTGCCATATTTGGTGTGTGTTCTCTGAGCAAGCTGCTCTTGTAATTTGGAAAAGCCCTGACCTCTTGGTAGACCTGCTCATATATCATCTTTTGACATCAAGTGGTACATTCACATAGGAGTAGTACATTTATTTAAGGATACTCTGGGCTGTTTTTACTCAGCATTTGACTGGGAACTTTAGAGACTACTTTAGTTTTCCCCCACAGCTGATCGCATTTCAAAACCTTCAGCCTAATTTTTTTTTTATACACCACTAAATCTACATGACTAGAGTAACAACAAAATTCTACATTTTGTCAACATCTGACCTCTGCTGTCTTCATAGGTGTTTTTATGGCCTGCATAGATGGCCCTGTGAAGGTCATGTGACAGCATTGTAAATGCAAAAACATGGCCCCCCGTATCTATTGGTATGTGACCTTTAGCACATGACAATGAGTCATTTGAATTAGTCTGTGCTTTTGAAATGAGTTGTGCACTGGCACGAATCACGATAAGCACCATTTCATTCCAGTGTGCATGGATGTACTGGAGCAGGGTGTGGAAACTGTTGAGAGATGCATAGATAATAAATTGGAAAAAAATGCATGACACATTATATATAAGACAGTTCAGGTATAGCCAAAAAAATGTGCTGCCTCTTTAAACTTTCTAACCCATGTAAAAAAAATTTAAAAAAAAAGCTGGTTCTTCCAGTTAAATCAAATGTGCATGTCAGTTTAGATTCAAGAACAAGATTTAAGATTCAAGAGAAATCATTACTGGTTTATTCTCAGTAAACTGTGTCATTTGTGCCAAGTTTTTATATTTACTTTCAAATCATATTGTCCCACCAGGGTTACAACTGCCATATATCACCATATATATGTGCCCCCCATGACATTCAGTTTACAAGTCAACAAATATGAGTTTTTCAGTGGTTGGTTGTTTAACTACTACCACTAATGCTAAAATGTGGTAATAGCCTTGTCAAGTATCAACAGTTTTTATAATAACTAACCCCTATGTTATTTTAGCCCTGTCACAGCAAGACTGGAATTAATGTGCTTATACAATAAATTGAATAAATAACTGAGTACACTGTGGTAGTATTACAATCAATGTTGGGGGTAACGCAAGCTACGTAATCAGATTACTTTTTTTCAAGTTACTAGTAAAGTAACACATTACTTTTAAATTTACAAGTAAATATATGAGTTACTTTTTCAAATAATAAATGGGGAGTAAGTGCAGAAACAGAGACACTTCCTTCAGGATGAGGCTTATTAATTTCACTTTTGATGTGAAAGGGCCTTTAGAGTTGCCAGAAATATAACTTTGGGGATTTTTGTTATTAAAAATAAATAAGCAAGCCCAGCCCAGGTGACAAAAAGTAATGCAAAAGTAATGTAATGCATTACTTTCTATAAAAAGTAACTAAGTAACTCAGTTAGTTACTTTTTAATGCAATATTGTAATGCATTACTTTTAAAAGTAACTTTCCCCAACACTGATTACAATAGTACGTTTTGGGGTGCCTTTTAATAAATCACAGAATATCATTCAAAATGTACAAAACATGGTTGAGCATTATGGGGATGAACGTCTGCATAAAATAGCTGATAACATCCTTAACTAGTCAGTCTTCTTGCTTTTTATTTGTGCTGATGGTGATGAAATGGGGTCATGTAAATAATATTCAGATGAAAAAGTAAAACTTCTTTAAAAAAAAGTTTATCATTACGTACTAAACATAGTCACATATTTGAAATAATGTGATTCAATTTAATCAGTGTGAATCAGTATGACATATCCCACACACACGGCCCTGTTAATAATAATTACTACCATAATAAGTTACATTTTGTAATTGATTTATGCCACATAATGTCACATAATTCTAAAAC